AAAAAAAAAAAAAAAAAAAAAAAACGAAGGGCACACATTTAACGAATAGCATCAGAAGAACATAAATAAAAAAGATGCATCTCCCTTTTCCTTCTTTTTTAACACCTATATTATTTCAACTAAGCAATATGTGTGCAACAAAGGTTACTTGGTATCCTCTGCCGAAGGAGTTGCTTAGGGACACACAAGGAAATTGACATACTTCTACTGGAAGGAGATTTTCAGAGGACAGGTTTACTTGGTGGATTATTATGTCTAATAACGTCAGTCAATGAACATCATGGGCCACCTAATAATTAGTTTTGTTTCGAAACCAATAGCCCAAGTGAATAAATGAAATGGAGCTAGGAAAATGACAAAGCATTTAGTGTGTTACACCTCACCCATTAACACATGCTTCGACAATAAAAGATGAATAAATACGATACTACCTTAATAGCAGAGAACACTGAATAACCTCTAGCTAGCTCAGCAGCTATAGATGAAGCCAAAGTACAGCCAGTTCCATGGGTATTTGAAGTCCTTATCCGGGCTGAGCAGAACTCATGGAACTCCTTACCTGGGTGGCGAAATAATACATGTTTCTAACTTTCTATGTGCATCAATACAAATTCAAATAAGTGGAATATGAGAAGCTTTTCCTTTGCCATGAAAAGATAAGCGAAGCATACCATCGAACAGGACATCGACAGCATCAGATGATGCAGGAAGGTCACCTCCTTTCACAAGTACATTTCTGAAAAGAGAAAGGAGTTGAAACAAATCATTGCTTTAGTTTTCTTAAAGTTTTCTTACTGGTGGTCTTCTCAGAAATAGATATTCAAAACTATAGGTGATACCGACTATGAAAAAAATTATAGAATGGCAAGACCCAGGCGGTTACAGTATTGAATCATCCAAAAAAAAAAAAAAAACCACGACAAGGGCCACTAAACAATCCAACAAAGAGTAATAAAGTCAACATAAGATTTTTCAACTTATTAGGAGCGCTCAACAAAACAAACCTCCCTTATGATTCTTAAAGAATGGAATTAGATTAAGAAGGAAATCCATGTTTAAAAGGAAGAAGTGCCTATTACTACTGACGAATGCAGAAACCAGAATATACAGAAACTGTTCAACAATTGAAAGCACAAATGTAAGCTCTGACACATAAGAATGTTGAAGAACTTCAATTGGTTGCTGTTTCTTAATTCTAAAGAAGGCCCACAATCATCTACAGTTCTGATAAGTTCAGTCCAGAAATTAGAAGTAGAACAATATTTTGCTTCGCCTTTTACGCTTAGGAGAGGTATTCACCCGCTAGTCATAATTAAGAATTTAGATTCTTATTAACAAGGCTAAAAGTGAAGTCATAAGCTTGCCAGTCTCCACTTATTCAGCAGATAAAATGTAATACACCGATCAATATATTGTAGGGAAAAGAAGACCTTTTCCATCAGAGGAAAGGAAAACGACTAAACTGTTGTTAGTCCCTGCCCGTTCACTGCTCAGGTAAGCAAAAATGCTTCCGGCACAAACTAACACTTTTAGGATGAAAGAAGAAGATTGTGAACAACTCAATGTATTGAGTATTAAGTTTTTCTGTGTGTTTACAAATGAAAATTGCATCCCTATTTATAAGAACTAAAAACAACTATTCTAGTGACTTTCCTAGAAATTTCTTGAGCTGAAAAATCAGCCTAAAATGGCTGCTATGAAAAAGCCATGAGAATGCAATGAAAGTGTAATGAAAGTGCATGGAAGTTGCACTTTACTAACAAAGAAACTGCAGGATTATATCTTACAATTCTTCCCCTAATCCTACATCCTGCTGCTCTTGCTTGTTTCCCACCATTCCAATCTTGATCCTCAGCTCCATGAACCGAAGACGGCCGAGTGGCTTGGTAAGGATGTCTGCGAGCTGCCGTCCAGATTCGACAAACTCTAAAACAATTTGTCCTTCATCGATACAATCACGGATGAAGTGAAAGCGAGTATCGATGTGC